AGGATCCAGGACCAGACAGGAGGGATGGAGTAGGTCTGGCTGGGGTAGCAGGAAGCACAACCCAAAGCTTTACGAGATGCAAGATGGAGTCGGAGAAGGTGCCGTTCTCCCAACCCCTCGCCTGCTCCCCACCGCCCTTACCTGAAGTCAGGAATCCCTGAGGCAGTGCTGATTCCAGCCCCTGTGTGAAACACCACATTGGATGAACTCCGGATCAAGTCCGCCAGCTCCAGCACCTTCCTCTCCAGTTCCTCCGGCGGGTCAAAAATCTGAGCAGAAGAGACAAGCCACCATGGGAATGGAGAGATGCAGGGATGGATGATGGATCCTACACACCTCCCAGCACAAAGACCCAGTAAACCACAAATCTTTCTTATCCACGAAAGGAAAGATTTCACATTCCTTAATGACAAAAGCATTTAATCAGAGAGAAACAGTGTTGTATAAACCATAGCCATGCAGGATAAGGGCTAAAAGCACCTAATGCAGATGAGGGTATTATTGCTTTTGCTGACAGGCAGCTGATACCCTGAGAAGTGGACGGGCTCCAGGGCACTGCCGGGCAGTGGGAAGACAGGAGCAAACCTGGTGCCACCCCACATGCGCTCAACTCGGGCTGTCACTGGCACAGCCACCGGCTCTGTACACAGGACAAGGGCCGAGGGACGGTGAGCAGTGTGGGAAGACATGGAGGTGGGGGACGTGGGGACGCTGTGGCTGAATGGGATCATGTGCTCACCCCGCTTTCTGGCACAGGATTTCATTTCTGTGAGATGCTTCTCCAGCCCAGTTTCCTGGGGACAGGGACTGAGGACAGGCCCCCGTGTGTCCCTGTCCCCTCACCCCAAAACCTGTTTTAAGCTTCCAAGTAGTGTTGGGGGCATGGGGCTGGGATCACCACTGCAGTGCCCGGCACAGGCCCCTCACATCCACCCCCTGGGGATAAAATGGTCCCCATATGGCTGGAAATCCCTGTTGTGGGGGGCACCAAACAGGGGAATAGTGCTGGGGTGGGACAACGACAAGGAGAGCGCCATGGGGCTGGGGAGCACAAGGAGGGAGTCATGGGGTGGGCCTGGGGGGACATGGAGGGAGCC